AAGATATATGTTAAGGAATAGAGAAAATATCAATAGACCTGAAAGACTAAAAGATTATGAAGTGTTGAATTCTGTTTCTGGAGAAATAGGATTGTTAACATACAATGAAGCTGTAACCGGAGTAGACAAAGAAAACTGGGTAAAAGCAATACAGGAAGAAAAAGATTCATTGAAGAAAAATGAAACTTGGGATTTTGTAAATGCTGAAGAAGTTAAAGGAAAGAAGATACTCAGTTCTAGATGGATATTCAAGATAAAGGATGGTGGACATTATAAAGCAAGACTTGTTGCTAGAGGAAATGAACAAAAAGGACTAGATTTTGATGAAACCTTTAGTCCAGTAGTAAGTACAATTTCTTTAAGAATGTTGTTATCCTTAAGTGTTAAGAAAAATCTAAAGTTCAAAACTTTTGATGTCAAAACTGCATTTCTCTATGGATATTTGGATGAAGAAATCTTCATGTATTTACCAGAAGGATATGAAGATAACAAAATATGTCGACTAAAGAAGGCACTTTATGGACTACGACAAGCACCTTCAAAGTGGAATAAAAGATTTGAAGCCTTTTTGAAAACAAAAGGACTGGTGAAATCAAAATTAGAAAATTGCATTTTCAAAAACCAAAATGGAAGTTTAATTTTGGCTTTATATGTTGATGATGGATTGTTGTTTGGAAGTGATGAAAAAGAAATGGACAATTTGTTGGTAGAACTGGCACAAGAATTTGAAATAAGAATAAGTAATAATCCTGAAATGTTTTTTGGCATGAATATCATGAATAAAGATGAGGGACTGATACTTTCTCAACATGACTATATAGAATGTGTGCTAAAAAAATACAACATGTTGGATGCAAAGCCAGTGACAACTCCAATTGTAGGAGCTGTGAAAATTGATCCTATATTAGAAAACAAATCTGAAGGTAATTTTCCATATAGAGAAGCTGTTGGAAGTCTCCTATATTTAGCAAACAAAACCAGACCAGATGTTGCTTATGCAGTTGGTTATGAAAGTCGTTCGATGCATGAACCGACAAACCAGGATATACAAAATGTTAAAAGAACTATGAGATATTTGAAACAAACCAAAACTTTTGGACTTCACTATAGTAAACAAGATGAAGATATGGAACTTAATGCATATTGTGACTCAGACTTTGCTGGAGACATGAAAACAAGAAAAAGTACATCCGGATATACAATTTTGTTTGGTAAAGGACCAATAAGCTGGAGTTCAAGAAAACAACCAATTGTAGCCTTATCCACTACTGAGGCAGAATATATTGCTGCAGCTGAATGTGTGAAAGAACTCATTTATATAAAAGCACTTATTGAAGAACATACAAATGAAACCATACTTGCTAAACTAAATATTGACAACCAAAGTGCAATGACTTTAATGAAGACAGGACAAATGAACAGAAAGACAAAACATATAGATGTTCGATATCATTTTTTGAAAGATCAGATAAGAGAAAATGTTGATGTTCAGTTTTGCCCAACCCAAGACCAAGTTGCTGATATCCTAACCAAGCCTCTGCCAAAGGAAACTTTTGAAAAACACAGATCTTCACTGCTACAGATGTTTTGATAGAGTAATTAAAACTCTAAAACATGAATTCAAGAAGGAGTGTTGAATATATGAATTCAATTTTAGACTTTAATATTTTATATAATATTGTCACTGAATAATTATTTTAAATATTCTGTGGTATATCATCATTAATATTTCCATAGTTATCACTCCTCACTATTCTTATATATTATTACTTGTAAATAAATGGAAAGATATAGTTTTGCATAAATAAACTATTTTCAATTACTAAAATCGTATGTATTAATTTATAAAATAATATAAAACCCTAAAACCTTTCTAACACTGCCTTCACATGTGTAGACATGTGGTGCGCTTACAGTAAAAAGCAGTCGTTAACTACCCACCATGATTATCATGGCCTGTACCACGTGTACTAGGGATAAGGATAAAAAATATAAGGGGGGTCGGTGGAAGGCTGGTTAAACCGTTTGGTTTACGACCACTATGACCCAGGTTCGATCCCCGCATTGGACACTTTTTTCTGTTTAAAAAAAAAATGCTCCAATGGCCTCCCCATTCTTGCAAAAGTCCAACCCCACCAGCGAGTGCAAGTAACCAAACGGGGCTCTGGCACATTTGTAAGTGCAAAGTCGAACTGCCTTCACATGTGTAGACATGTGGTGCGCTTACAGTAAAAAGCAGTCGCTAACTACCCACCATGATTATCATGGCCTGTACCACGTGTACTAGGGATAAGGATAAAAATATAAGGGGGGTCGGTGGAAGGCTGGTTAAACCGTTTGGTTTACGACCACTATGACCCAGGTTCGATCCCCGCATTGGACACTTTTTTCTGTTTAAAAAAAAAATGCTCCAATGGCCCCGCCATTCTTGCAAAAGTCCAACCTCACCAGCGAGTGCAAGTAACCAAATGGGGCTCTGGCACATTTGTAAGTGCAAAGTCGAACTGCTTTCACATGTGTAGACATGTAGTGTGCTTACAGTAAAAAGCAGTCACTAACTACCCACCATGATTATCATGGCCTGTACCACGTGTACTAGGGATAAGCAAAAAAAAAAAAAAAAAGTTATTTTAAAATTACAAATAATTTCCTTTTAAATAAATATATCTTTATATAAAAATGAATGTATGTGTGTGTGTGTGTGTCTGTCTGTCCTTTATGCCTGACCAAACCACTCATTGGAACGCCATGAAACTTTGGGAAGTTATTTAGTATAGTACTGGGAAGGTTTCTAGCAAATAAAATTTTGGAAAAAACTTTTCGCCTAAATATAATCAAGATAAATATTATGATTTATCTGTTATAATTCAACAATCTGCTCTAATTATAATCATGATGATACGATGATTTTGTAATGTAGAAAATTAGGAAAGACAAAATTCAGGATGACACGGCAATTTATTTGAGACAAGAATAATGATACAATTCCAAGGCAAGATACTATTCCTTTAACTTCCAATTACCGAGGGAACCAATTAATATTGATTTTATTCAACTTATCGAGTATTTTTCAAGGGACCGGGAAAAAATGTTCACTTTATCAAGAGATTCGTTAGACAAACGTTTACTCGGGTAAAACCCTGGCGAAGCCGGGTACATCCGCTAGTATCTTTATAAAATGTAGCCACAATGATTATGATAACATTTTATTTCAATATTCAATTTCTGTGTTATTATAAAAGATTTAAACACAAAATCAATAACACCTGCAGCAGCAGTGGATGACTTTAATACATTAAAATTTATAAATTAAAAGATATTTCAGAGGAAGAAATGCATGCATGTTTTTTCAAAATGATCATCTGGAATACATCCTGAATAGGATTTCAGTGCAAAAACAGACATCTATAAAGGAATTTTTTTAAAAGATCTTCATGATTATTTTAAAACTAGCGGATGTGCCCGGCTTCGCCCGGGTTTTACCCGAGTGAATGTTTGTCTAACGAACATTTGTTAAAACAATTCTCTATTATCTTATAAAACGTACTCGGCTTCGCCCGGGGTTTTACCCGAGTAAAGGGTTGTCTAGCGAACATTTGTTAAAACAATTCTCTAAAAACTTATTTAAAAAAAAAAGATATATTTTGATAATTTGAAACTCTCGTAAATTTGAATCTCTCGATAAAGTGAACATTTTTTCCCGGTCCCTGTGTGCCGTGTCATCCTGAATTTTGTCTTTCCTAATTTTCTACATTAGAAAATCATAGTTTTATCTAGTGAACATTTTTTCCCGTGTCACATTGCCGTGTCATCCTGAGATAATCTTACTTTTGATAAATAATATTTAAGATAACAAACTTAGTGATAAGAAAACTTGTTTTCATCGTCACAATGGGGGCGCTGCTTGCGAGTTAAATCTACAAATCTGCAAATAACTCTAAGGATATTCAAGATATTCGGGAAATTATTTTTCAAAAACCTTCCCGGTGATATACCTAATAATATCCCAAAATTTCACGGCGATTGGATGTATGGTTTTTGAATCTATAGAGTACAGACAAACAGACAGACAGACATTCAATTTTATATATATAGATAATATTTTTAAATTTTCTTTTAATTTACCATATTTATTTCCTTTCAACTGCTATATTTTTCAATTAGAATAAAATATTATTTAATATATTATATTTAATATTTTAATGTCTGTAGAGTTAATATTTGATTTATTTGTTACAATTATTTATGTTTCTAAAATATGTATTAAAGCCATTTTGTCACTGATACTAAAAGTTAATCATGAAAATAAAATAAAAACACACCATGGTTTCAATTAATATCATTAATTTATATTACAAGGCTATTTGAAAAAAAATATTATTTCAGCGAGTTAGATGATTACCTAATCATCTGACTTTAATTCAACACTTCCTTTAATTCAACCGAAAGCTCTGATCCCTTGGGGTGTTGAATTAAAGAGGTTCGACTGTATTTGTAAATTTTAAAATACCTAACATATTTCAATGCTGAAAATCAAAAAGAAATTAATAATAATTAGCGCATTATCCTAAATTCCAGCGTAAAAAAATAAACAAAACAATAACAGTTGTGACATTGCGCAACGGCACTGCAAAGTGAAACTTAAACTAACTGAAACTAAAAGTGCACGGCGCGATTCTATCGGCGCCCGCCGATCGTCGCCACCGCCGTAATATCATTTTAGTGGTAAATTTGTATGTAAAAGAAGTCATCTGTTGAAATTCGAATTTTTTTTTTGCTTATCCCTAGTACACGTGGTACAGGCCATGATAATTATGGGGGGTAGTTAGCGACTGCTTTTTACTGTAAGCGCACTACATGTCTACACATGTGAAAGCAGTTCGACTTTGCACTTACAAATGTGCCAGAGCCCCGTTTGGTTACTTGCACTCGCTGGTGGGGTTGGACTTTTGCAAGAATCGGGGGGCCATTGGAGCATTTTTTTTTTTTTAAACAGAAAAAGTGTCCAATGCGGGGATCGAACCCGGGTCGTAGTGGTCGTAAACCAAACGGTTTAACCAGCCTTCCACCATGGTCGAACTATCGGAACTGTCATATCGATACTGTCGAATTACAGTTTGTTATTTGATAGGCCGGAGGTCGGGACATCAGAATATGGTCGAAAAAGGTAGGGTGTCGAATTAACTAGGTTATACTGTATATAAACAATTCACAATTTTCAGAGTATTTCAATTTATTGATCTTAGAATACATACATTTTTGTGTTAAGAAAGGTGATAAATTTACAAAATTTATTTATTCACACACAAAACAAAAATACATTCTTTCATTATTTAAAATTATTTCATATAGGTGTAGCCATTTTTAAAATTACAGTATAACTTCATTAATTTGACACTTGTGATATTTCAATTTTTTTTTCAAACCTCCAGCCTATCAAATAACCACTATCAATTCTACCAACAATATTTTTGAACATTTCTCAATTTATATTTAACAGGTTTCTTAAATAAAACTTTCACTAAAAATGCACTAGTGCCATTTGACATGACAGTGACAATGAAAATAATTTTATTGACTGTCAGTCAACGTTAACACTCAATCAGGAGGGTGAAAAAATATTTACAATTAATTCAGTCGTCAGGAATTAAGGCATCGCCACTGAAGCCTATACATATCGGAGCCAACGTTAGGATGGCAATCCTGGGCCTGTTCTATGGCCGCGCCTAGGAACTCAGCGAGGACATTCTTCAACGCAGGTGAGAGTTTCGCCATGAGGGGGACATTCTGTCATCGTGGCATAGAACGGCATCCATAAGTTCACTCATATTAATCCCCGATATATATAGGGGCCTTAGGCAGGTTGTGTGCTTCAGTTTTCTGAAGATTTCAACAATCATAGTTATCTCCTGCGTGATTAACGTTGACTCGTCATCCTCCTCCATCTCCGTCGGGGCGGGCGGCGGTGGTGTCATCACAGCAGGCATCAGTTTTTCGCTGTGGGAAGTAGGCGGCGTTGAGCCAGAAGGCCGAGGCGCAGGCAGTGGGGGTGTTGGAGGCACTGCTGGTGTTGTCCTGAGCTCAGCCTTGACTTGTCCAAGGACTTTGTAAAGGTTGCTGGCTGCTCCGGGTCTCAGGTCCAGGATTTGCCTGATCAGGCCGACGAGGGCGTCGCACTGCGGAGGCGACAGGAGAGGTCCCTTTCTCTGCGCCTTGGTCCTCGAGGAGAGGAGGTCCAGGACCTCCTCCCGCCCAAGACCAAGGGCGTCCGTCTTAGCGAAGGACACGCTGGGGTGCCCCTCGATGAACGCATCGACGTCGACTCTCGTTGCGTTTTTTGCCGATGACGTGGAGGACCAAAAGGTCTCCTCCACGATGGACATCTCCACGTCCGGTGTTGGGGCCGCAGGCTCGCGACTCCCAGGTGTTCGCAGGGACGGAGCAGGGGTCACTGGTGGAGGGGCAGGAGGCGTGTCCTCCAAAGGTAAGGCCGAAGGCGCTGGTGGTGATGGCTGGAGTGCAGCAGGTGGAAGGGGCGCAGCTCGGCTCGCGGGAGGCACGTCGGAGACCTCCATGGTTGAACTGGGGGACGCCGGAGGTGGAGGCCGGGCAGATGGCTGCTGAGGCAGCCTGGGCACAGTCGCTGGTGGGACGCTGGTGGGAGAGGTTGGTGTGGCCGGTCCAGGAGCGGTGGTTCGCCCTACAAGCATGGGGCAGTTGGCCCTACGATGTCCTTGGCCACGGCACCTGGAACACCTAATCCTGGAGGACAGGTATGCGGGCCAGGCCTCGCCCTTTATTGAGATGTCGAGCCGGGTGGGCAGCCTCTCGATGGTCATTCCTTCGCGGAGGATGATGAACGCCTCTCGGCGGCCGTCGTTGTAGACATATGGGCCTGCCTTCATCAGCTTGGGGGCGATGGATGTTACTCGCCCGAAAGATGAAAGGGCGCTGATGACGGCTGCATCCCCCACGAAGAAGGGGAGGTTGCCCACCGTGATTCTCTCCGCCCTCTTGCGGAACGGGAAGGCCCTGTGGAGAGTTCCCTCCACCTCGAGGCCCTCGTTGACGAGGCGCTCGGCCAGGCCTCTGTTGGCCAGTCCCACCAGGAAGTGACCGTTCATCTTGGTCATCTGGAAGACCTCCCTGGTCCCTCCGAGCATTCTATCAAGGGCCCTCATGTAGTGGTAGGGCTCCAGTTCAGGGCTGCGCTCTATATAGACGCAGTGGTCTTCTGTTGAGGACGCCTGCCGCGCCCTGGCCTCCGCGATATGCACTCTTGTGGTCCTGACCTCCTCCGCCCGCGGTGCCCATCCCGTGGATGATCGCGGCCGGCGAATGGCTCCTGCGCCTCTGATGTTAGATGAAGGTGCAGCCGCCGCAGGTGATTCCGCCGAGCCACGGCGTCTTTTCTTTCTTTGGACAGTGATGAAAGGGTTCTCAGATTCTTGATTGTTGTCCTCCGCTAAGTCTGCCCAGCTCCTATTGGCTTGGGCAGCGGCCTCGGAAAACGAGGCAGTAACGAAGTCGGTCGGCGTGGCCGGATTTGCATGATGTCCGCCGGCGGGCGGATTTGCATAGCCCTGACTTTTGCCGAAAAGATTTGAAGATTTCTTCTGCAAATCTTCTTTCTTTGATAATTCAGCACATGGTTGTGCTTTTTCGCCGTGCCTTACAGGCTTTTTCTCGGCTTTTGACGGGCTTTCAGCCCGTATAAAATTTGTCGCCATCCGCGACACTTTTCGCCCGCCAGAGGCGAAAAACGCAGGAGCTCGCGCGACGCGTGGCCGCACGGCCGAGTGTAGACATGTGCCACATGTCAGTGGCTGTAGTTGGTGCATATACATCCTAGCTAAAAGTCTAGCTCATCAATACTGGTGATGGCCTATGTCATGTGCCTTTTTAGCTTTTCATGGACAATTTAGACATCATTGGTTTTTTTTTTTGCTTATCCCTAGTACAAGTGGTGGTACAGGCCATGATAATCATGGTGGGTAGTTAGCGATTGCTTTTTCTGTAAGCGCACCACATGTCTACACATGTGAAAAGCAGTTCGACTTTGCACTTACAAATGTGCCAGAGCCCCGTTTGGTTACTTGCACTCGCTGGTGGGGTTGGACTTTTGCAAGAATTGGGGGCCATTGGAGCATTTTTTTCTTTTTTTTTTTTTAAACAGAAAAAAGTGTCCAATGCAGGAATCGAACCCGGGTCGTAGTGGTCGGAAACCAAACGGTTTAACCAGCCTCCCACCGACATCATTGGTTCTATATCCTACCTAAGCTGATGTTACAGAGGAGGAAGACATGCATGCCTCTTTAAGATTTATCAGCTAAAATGCATTATGAACAGGCTAAAAACCAAACAACCATAAAGAATTTATAAAATAATGATTTTTGAAAATTAAAGCTCTAGCCTTTTTTTTTTTTTCTGAATTAAATACTATCTTCCAATTACATCGATCAACTCAAATTGTATTCTTAAATTTTCCATTGTTCAAAAATATAATAATGCAATTATAAACACAAGGTAATAAGACCAAATCCAAATAAATAAATAGTGTGTGACGTTTCGGGAACAGCGTTGTTACCATCTTCAGAAAAAGTACTGAATGAGAAATTTAACCACAGCATGTTTTTAAATAGGTCCTGTTATTAGTGTGTAAATAAGATAACAGAAAAGAATATATTTATCTGATAAACACATGATGAATATTATTCTTAGAATTAAAAGCATAACTATAAATATCATTTATATTTCCTCTTTCTTCCATTCTATTAATTGTAGCACATTTCTTTGAAAAATGCTTCTTTAAATTGTCTCTTAAAATAATTCTTCTCATAATCTAGTATCTTTGTTTCTTTTAGGTTAAAATTATCATGTCCTGTGATTTTTCTATGTTCTACAAGTGCAGAATTCTCAATTTTTTCCCATTTCAGAGCATATTCATGGTTTTTCATTCTTTCTTTTAAAGTTCTGGATGTTTGTCCTACATAACATTGGTCACATTTTTCACATTTCACTTCATAAATTAAACTTGCTCTATTTGGTATGTGAGTGTTCTTATGGTTGTTGATATTTTGAGAGATAGGGTTACATGGTTTCCATGCAATGTTTATTTTTTCATACTTTTTGAATATATTAGTAAAATTTCTCTCTTGCAAACTTTTGGTTTATAAATGGCAATGTGATAAATTTGGCTTCTTTGTTTTTGTACTTTAGATTTTGAATTAAAGTATTATTCTCATATTTTTGGTTCATGTCTTCTATTATTCTATTTATCAATTTGATGGGAAAATCTTCATTGATTAGTTCTTTTTTAATGTTGTTAATTTCTATATTTCTTTTAGTTGTATCATTAATGAGTGTAAAAGCTCTATATATAAGAGCTTTTACTAATCCTACTTTTTGGCTGAAATGGTGCTGTGAGCTAAAGTTCCAATAAGTTCCTGTATGTGTTGATTTTTTGTATATAGAGGTTGTAATATTGTTATTACTGTATGATAAGTTCATGTCCAGGAAATTTATTGATTTGTTGTTATCTACTTCCATAGAGTAATTGATATCAGGCAATATATTGTTGAAAGTATCCAAAAATTTTTGTGCAATTGATCCAATTGATATAATGCAATTATATCAATAACCATAGGTTAATCGTGGAACATTGTGAAAAAATAGTCATAATAGTATCACACACAATTATAACATTATAAATAAAAATATATTACATAAATAATACAATATAATGTGGCTTATGATTGTAGAACGACATTTGAAAATTATCCCGCAAACGTTTCTTTTGAAAGAAAAATCAAAATTTATTTCAAGGAGATATAATGATTATTTATAAACTTAGGGATGAAGTATGAAAGGATGAATTGTGAAGGGTAATGATAAAAGGAATCGAACCCAGTGTTCTTTCACTTACAGGGCGGATGCCATGTCCACTAGGCTACCCTGGATATTTTTTCGTTTGTAAATATTATTATTATAAAAGAACCATTTGTGGGATAATTTAAATTATATATTTGACTAGCCGAAAGACCTGGGCAACGCCCAGGTTTTACCCGATTAAATGTTTTTATTCAAATA